TGAATTATAAGAATTTCAAAATAAAATTTTGATGAAATCGGATTTAAAAGAATTTCTTTTTAACGATCATCTTTAAAAATATAAACTGATCAGGTAAAAAAACGACTCTAAGTGAAAAGGGTCCTAACCCGACCTATTTTCGCTCATTCACTTATAGTCATTTTTTTGATAGCAACAGTATATTGGTTTTAAATTTAAAAAACTAATACAGCAATACCATTTGCCAGTTCAATCATCTCGCCTAGGAACTTCACATTTTTTTTAAAATGATTTTTATCGATATTTCGCGTATCAATTTATGAATAAATTGTTTTACTCTACTCCTTCACTATTAAAATTAACTTTTCGGTGAGACTTCATGAATAATCTTATGTTTTAATCAATAAATTAATTAAAATCAAACCTTAAATAGTAAACATTTTAAAATATAATTTCTTACCTTCGCCGTCGATTAAAATGATACAAAAAAGTATATCAACAAAGACTGAACAATCTTAATATGTAAAGGCAACATGACAACTAATGACTACATTAAATTATTTAAGATTTATAGAATACATGACATGTAAAAATAAGCCTAATAAGAAATTTACAATTTTATGACGATGGGGTAATGATGATTTTTAAGAAATATAATAATTTAAAAAAAAATAAGAAAATAATTATTATTCTTAACATACCACTAAAACGAAATCAACTATAGCAGATTAAAATTCATTTATAATATTGCAAGCATATTCAAAATTATTATTTTTATCATAGTTTCAATTAAATTTCGCTAGTTTAAAAACTTGTGTTTTTCATAAGTTATCATTAGTACTATATTGGAGATAATCTTAATAATTGAATTACTAAATCTATCAAACCAATTTTATTTATATTTATAATTTATAATTTTCCAATCAGCATTTTATTTCGATATCGCGTACACTTATTCACCAATAAAATTACATCATCACGGTTTCAGTCTCTTAATCGTTTCAGACGACTCCTATCGTATTAAGTTTTTAAACATTCGTATCACAATGTACTTCTTTGCGTCTTCAGTCGTTTGACTGGTTTTCTGCAGTTCTCCATGCAGGTCACAATGTACTATATTTAAAATATATTATATACATGATATAAATGTGGTGAAGGTGAAGGTGGTCAGTGGCATTATTTTGAGTATCTCTCATTAGAAAATTGACCAAGAAAATAAATTATCTACAGTCATGAAAGGTCTCTTTAATTTTATCAGATTTCCAAAACTATTTCTTTAAAAAACTTAGGGGTAAAATGTTCAGAAAAAATTAAAATCCAAATCCACGTTAGAAAAAAATTACAACAACACCGTATTGATGCATTTAGATAATATTGCGTCTGATGACAATATTATACAAGCGCTTCCCATTTCTATACCCAACACCTTCATAATATTATATTTATATTGCAGAATCGTTTGGCGATCAATAAATAAGTATTGACCCAGTGTACATAATATTTAGTTTTTACTTTGACACAAATAAAAATAATATAGTTATAGGTACTATAGTTGAATTTAATTTCTCGGCCATTAAAATGTCTGCACTAGAGTATTCACCCCCTTGAACACCTACTTCTTCTTGACGCTATACCGTTCACATCACTTCTCATCGCGCTTCTCGCTTTACCCAATAGCAGCCAGTAAATACCGGTAACGCGAATGATGAAAAGTGTGGTCACGCGGGGGTGTTGGACTACGAAGGGGTGGACGAACGAACCACAAACGCGACTACGAATATATATTATGCACACGCGTATTATGTTTCGTGCCATCGGGGGCTGTATTGCACACTACGAGTGGACTACTTCTCCAAGCAAACGTACATTTATACTACGACGAATCCCGATATTATACAAGTACTATTTTGGCTCGCTGAAAGGCCGTGTGCGTCGTGCATTGTGTGTTGGTCTCATTATGATTTCGAGGCGCGCGCGCGCGCACGCATATGATGTTAACGCGAGCATTGTTGTCGGAGGAAAAGGGAAACCCTTTTACACGCGTCTTGGTGGTGTTAAGGGACAAGGGGGTCGTGATAGGGGTATGATTGGGGGAGGATGTTTTTAGCTCGCGAGTGTGCCACCCCGACAAAGTGGATCGCCGCACCGAATCGTCTCGTCAACCCCTTCACGTGCTTCACCGAAACCACCATATCCCGTCACCCATCCTTCATTCTACGCCAAAACATTATTCATAGCCCCCAACCCCATCCCCACCAATCATCCGGTGAACACTACGTCTACACGACGGACTGCACCGAAACATATTCAATCCTCTCTCATGTTCACCGACAGACGGCAAATTATTATTGTTATTATAGTTGTTGTAGTTGTTGTAATTTGGCCACCGTTTACGTAACATATTCGCAATGTCGACGCCGACGACCATTAACATTGGACACGTCATTTTGTCGACCATCATCCACCGTATCATCCGAAACATCAGCTCAAAAAACATGACGGAGTGTGCAAATATGAGACGTGAGGATTTTCACGGTTATTGCAAAACCAAGAATCATAGATTGGCTTAAAACAATTTTGGTGCGGGGTAAAAAATCGAAAGCAGTGACGACAAATCATCGCAAGCGAAACTCAGTGTACCATCATTTTCAAAAGTATCAACAGTGATATTCAAATATATTTCTGTCTTTAATACAACCTAAAATCGAATGTAAATAATTAGTTTTGAATGTTACAATTTGTAAACTATGCAAAAAAAAGAAAAGCAAAAAAACAACATCTAAAATTATATTTAACTCAAAAATAGCAATGAAATACAATGTTTCGTAGACCCAGGACCATTTACTAGTTATGGATGTGCTAACGCATGTACGTATAAGGGAGAGAGAAATAAAGAGAAATAGTGTAACCATACATAGGAAACTCTCCTATTGAATATGGCCTTACATATTCTGTAGTGTAAAAGAAAAAACGATTTTCATTCGTGCCGTGAGTTCTAATGGCGGTAAGTTGCCGAAACTTCTACTACAGGGACAAATCGTGAACGACCCAATTTCGTACTTTTTCTCGTCATAGTAAAAAAGGAAGAAACGACAGTGAGGCGGGGGAAAAGTTACGCGATATTGTATTCGGTCGACACTGAATACGAAAACACCGCCATCGTTGTTACGATAACATAAACAGATAAAATGTAACAAAGCATTACCAGAGGACGACGGAGTTTCCCACTCCTTATATTCCGGTAAAATCCTCATTCCTAGCACATTTATCAATTTCCTTTTTCATCAACACCTGCTTTAAAGAATACACGCCCTTTGAGTTCCATAAACCCTGGATCCAAGTAAAGTATATAGGTAAAAAAAGCAAAAAAAAAATAGAAACGAAAAATATCCGAAAATAATCAACCCGTTCTCTTAAGTACGCACTTTTATAATATATGTTATTTTTGAATTATAAAGTAAACATAAATAAACTATAAATAAATATAACTCTATATATCTAGACTCTTAGATTGTATACTTATAATTCCATCTCAAGCAATATACACTTGGTGATGACTGTAGTACGTGGTTTTTAATGTATCAAAACGAGAAATGCCTCGAGAGACCTCAAAAGTAATTTTAAGATACCAACAATAACATGTCCTAAGAGTACAATAAACGCAAGCTTCAATTTTCCAATTCTCTTAAATCAACCTTGAATTACAGATTTTTACATTCTTACTCCTCAGCTTTACAAGTTTATATTATTAAACTTGTCGGTTATTTTTAGTGCATACGTAGTTTGTAACTAAAAAATTCTTATCAATTTTTAAAAAGCTAAATATTAAAAATCAACTTGTAATTTAAAGTGACAAAAAATATGTGTTACTTATAACATAATATATGAAAAAAAAGTATAGAATCGATAAGTTAAATGTGCATAAGTACATAATTTGTAAAATTTGATAATTATACACAATACCAATATAACGACAGATACATGCTAAAACCACGTAATTTGAAATTTTGTAAATTTCACTTTTTGTTAAAAATATCATTGATAGCGTTAGTTGTACACGCTGTAAAAAACGATTGTAGTGTACTATACATTGTGATACGGTTAAATTGTAATTTCAAAACCTCGTAACTATAAGTTGAAAAAATACTTTTGAGTTAAACTACGTGGTTAATAATTTGTAAAAATGGAGTTACGAGGTTTTGGCACGTAGCTATCAATAACATAATTTGCTCATATCTGAATTACCAATAATATGTATTTTAATTGTATATTACTCGGTTTCTTAAACATATTTATTTCAATTGGACGGTTTGCTATAAAAATTAACATGGAAACAGATATTAGATTATGGCATATTTTAAATACTAATTAATCAATATCATACTTAATATAACTTACATATTAACACATATTTTAAGTGAATGGATATAAGTGTACATTTTTTGTATGAAATAATTATAGGTGTAATACGAACCAATCTTTTATAATTTTCTTGAAAAGTTAAGTCATAATAGAACAATAAGTAGGTTAGGAAAAAAATCAAAATACTCCTAGTTTAATTGTATACCTGTATTTTAATATACACGACTATTCATCCTGTGAAATCCCATTACGTAATGGATTTACCCAGCATCGTATTCAGTCACTTTTGATCCAATACTAAACTTACATATTTGAATATAACAGCACATGTATATTTTCTGCACCATATACTGTATTTTATATAAAAAAAAAATCAATCGTATAGCACAAATGGCACTATTAGAGTAGACTGATAGTTGTTATCTAAATTATTACTAAACTTAACGATGAAAATCATAAGTATGAGCTTTAAAAATACATTGATAATTTCTTCGATAGTATTTATCAAAACAATTTAAAACCACATTATGATATCTAAAATAAAACTTGTTGTAGTATAAGTTCAAAAACATAACCTAACCAAAAAACTGCATACTTATGATTGCTGTGTATAATAAATTATATCGTTTGACTTCTAACTTATTATTGATTGGATTCAGGTGGCTTGGATCAAAGCTGATACAAAAGCTATATTAGCAATTCACGAACATGTTATCACAAACAACGAAAGGCTATCTGTCACTCACAATGATTATAACACATGGACATTAAATGTCAGAACAGTAAGGAGAGAAGATAGAGGTACATATATGTGCCAAGTCAATACGGATCCAATGAAGAGCCAAGTAAAATTTATTTAATATTTTACTTGTTAATAAATATCATTTGTTTTCCTAACCTATTTTATTTGCTTATAGAGTGCTTTTCTTGAAGTTGTTATACCTCCTGACATTGTATACGAAGAAACATCAGGAGATATGATGATCCCTGAAGGCGGTTCGGCTAAGTTGGTGTGTAAAGCTCGAGGGTATCCTGAGCCAAAAATATTATGGAAAAGAGAAGATGGTGGAGACATAATTGTTAGAACTGGAAATGCAATAAAAACTAAAAGTAATAAAAATATTTAACAAAAAATACCGTTTACATTACTATAATTAATTTTTAATTAATTTTAATCTGATATAATTAAGAATAAACTAATTAATATTAACATATAAATATTATATGTTTATTATATTATATATTGTTCAACAAATCAATGTTATAAAAAAAAAATGTATTTAGTTAATTTGAATTATATATGCTGAAGTGAATAATCATATTTAATTATTAAGACTCAATATTTTTGTATTTTGTACAAAATGACCATTAAATCAAAATTAAATTAAACAGTTAAAATTAAATTTAATTAATTAATTCATTTAATAATAATAATAAATTAAATTAGACCACTAAACAATCACATGGATAAATAAACTCATATTATATTTTTAATTTTATTTAATTTAATTTTATAAAGATTATTTTAAAACATTATTCTTTTAATTAATATAATATCATATTTTAGTGACTTCAGTCGAAGGCGAATCTTTACTCTTATCAAAAGTAACAAGATCAGAAATGGGAGCATATCTTTGCATTGCAGCCAATGGTGTACCGCCATCAGTCAGCAAAAGACTTATGCTTCACGTTCATTGTAAGTAAATATAAATATATATGTTCATATGAATTATTCAATATATAAATATGAGTATAAACAGGGTTAAAAATTATTTTGGTCGGTATATAGAGAAAAAAGTGAAAAATCGACGTAATTTCCTCCACCTTGCATCCCCTAGTGATCATTCAACAATAGCATGGTGAAACAGATTTAAAGTTTTTTCGTCCCGATAGGGTTAGGTCTGATTGGCATTTATCACCGATATCGAAATCGGTTCAAGTACAAAAGAGCATTAATAACGTCCATCTCTACTATCATTCTCTCTCACTTTTTTCTATATATATATTGATTCATATAAAAGCCGATATACAGTACGGAACGGAATCAGCTGTCGACGAAAGCTATTTTTCCACAATAGAAAACTCGTCAAAAAAAAATGAAAGAAAAACCCGTCACCCCCTCACAAATCACTTTTTAGGTAGAAGGGAGAATATACAGCCGGTAAAGCATTGTTGATAATCCCTATTGTGTGATAAGCAAACGTGAATAATATAGTGGGTTGAATATTAATTTTTCAATGAGGATTTTATTGAATACATTTTTAATAAATACATTCAACATTTCACGTTTTCAAATTAATTAGCCAAAACTATAGGATTGTGCAAGTTACATTTTTAACACTTTGAACAATTGCAAACATACAAATCAAAAATTCTAATGAGACATGAATTAATATCCTAGTAAAGATAATACTAAACAAAAATATTTTATAAGTCAAATAGTCTTTAAATACATTTTATTGATAATTTATAATAAGTTATCAAATTCCTGCCTCAGATTCATCTGAATATTAACAAATATAATATTTAGGATTTTTGAGTAATTACGTTTAAAAATATTAAAATTATTGTTGTAGAAATAATTGTGGATTATACTCATATTATTAATTATTTAAAATGTAATAATAATTAATCTTATTTAAAGTTCACCAAATTTTTTATAAAAAAAATATATTTTTAGAAGTTATATGAATATATTGAAATAAAACGTCACTATGTAACATTATAGCCAAAGCTTTTTTTTTAAGAAATTTTAAAATATATAGCATATAATTTAAACAAGTATTGCAAATAAGTAAATTAAATAACCATTAGTAATATTTATTATACTATAAATAACAGGTAAATTAAATCATGTAAATTATAAAATAATACTAAAGACTAAAAAAAATTCTTTTTCTCATGATAAAAAGATCAACTCATTATATACTTACGTTATATCATTTTTTTTTTTTTATATAAAAAATTTAAAGTTAAATACTCAAAAAGTATATTTATACTTGAAAACTGTAAATATATCGAATAATATAAATTAGTTTAATAAAATATAATTTTTTACTCAACTTGTTATTCAATAGTTAAAGAATAAAGCTATAATATAATATACAATACTATAGTAATACATATAATAAATATAAAATAATTCTAAGTTTTTTCTTTACGCATTTTTGACATTTGTCATTTAAAATATTAAAATCTCTCATGCAAAATTTTTATTTTTTTTTTGTGTAAATGAAACAATACCCGTTTCAGAACAGATTCAATTCCATTCTTGTTTTATATGTAATTTACAAATTTAATCTTTTAGACATCGAATTTCTAGGATTAAATAAAATTCAATTCAATAAAAAAATATTAACAAATATTTTTTTTCTATCTGTAACCAATAAGTAGCATGTTATACAGCACAATATTAACAGCATATAATGTACAAAATATTTGTCACCACTGTTAGTGATATAGGTGAATGGTCAATAATTAATTAGGGAAGGGTTGTACACAAGTTATCTTGGTTGTGATGAGACAAACGTTAATCTGTTTGGTGGTATTGCCACATAGAATGTGTTGTTTAAAAGGGTTGTTCATTAGAGTCGTTGACGTTTTTGGACACTATAATGGAATTTATCCTAGCTCCGGAATAAATGGTCGTCGAACAAACCACTCCTGTCTGCTATCAACAATTACGATAGGAGGAGGACACAAAGCTGTATATAATAAATACGTTTTCGAAATTGTGTTATTGCTGGCTTCGGAATAATTTATTTATTCTTAAATTGCATTTTAACTCACACTTTCAATCTACCAATTAAAAAACCTAAATTAATCAAAATAATACATTTTAATTATGTTGTACTGAATGATATTTTAAATAATTAAATTATATTTTATAATTTTAAATGGTTACATATATTATACATATAATATTATATAATATTGTATAACATATAAATTATAAAATATATAATATATATTTATATATAATACATATATTAATGTAATTATAAAGATAATAATATATATATCAATACGTACAAAAATAAATTACAACAAATAGTTTTTTAAATTAAAATACATAGTAAAGTAATTAATTTTCACAATATTCATTTCACCAAGCGACTGATTTTTCAGTATTTTTAATTAATTTGTTATTATATTTATCATAAAAAAATCGCTAAAAAGAAATTATTTTAAATCTTAAATATCCATGTTAACATTAAATTTGTTAGTACATTTTGGAAAATTTTAATTTTATTAAATTATAATAGCATATTATAATTTCTAAGTAATCAATTAATAATTAGTAATAGTTATTAAATGAATAAAAATAAATAAACATTATATAATTCATATTATCAATGTAGTATTATTAAACTACTATACTATTTAGGTATAAAAAGCAATAAAATTATTAAATTTATATAAAATTATTAAAATGTCTAAATATAAAACCACTATGTTATTTATATAAAATATACAACTAATACAAATACATCTAAAAAAAAATATGTGTATATATATATAAACATATACATGATATACAAAATGTAACAATAATTACTTTTTATAGTAAAGAATAAAATGAGAGGTAGGAAATCAAAAATATGAATAAAAACTAAATTAATATAAATATATAGTGCTTAAAAAAACGAGTACTTCTATAAAGAAACCTTGAATCTAACTTTTATTTTTTTTATTATGTTTATTTTATCAATATTTTTATACAAATAAAATAATTTATAAATATACAAATTCAATACTCAAAAACATAAAATTAAGGGATCAAATGTTTATAATAAGTAAGCCACATATAAAAAATGTTGAAATACCTGTAAATATTACCATTTTTAAATTAATGGACATAATAATATTATAATATTATATAAAAAGTATCGCATTTTTTAAATTTTTATTTAATACTTTTAGCTAACGAGTTTTATCAAATTATAAAACAAATTAGTTTATTCTCTATTAACTTTATTTTCTACTTGTCTATCTATTGAAGTATCCTTTCCATGCATTCTAATTACTTTAGAAGTTGTTTAATCATGCTATTCCTATGCATATATTTTTCAGTACATTTTCAGCATACCTAAATACTTTATTTCGGATGGACATTTAAATTATTTTTTTGAAAACTAAAAAACTCTAAACGGATACGAATTTGTAATTTTGTGTAGTCAATATAACACTAGTATGTGACTTACTTATAATATTTGATTAATATTTCGAATTTCTTATAGGAAATTCCAATATGATATTTTTCATTTTTACACAAACGTATAGTATATCTATAATGTCTGATTTTCATATAAATACACACAGTTTTTTTTTTTTTTTTTTTTTTTTGGTTGTTTAAAATGTTAAAATTCTTTAAATAAAATATTATAAATTAACTATATAAAAAGCTAGATTACAATAAATCACAATGGAATGACAACATAGATACCTTTGTTAAAATAATGCAACTATTCACTTTAATAATTAAGTGAAAACCAAAATGTCTATAACTAAGTGTTTATTTTTTGTCAAGTTACTCGTATCATTTATTTCAATTTGAAATTAATTAAATATCAGTGAATTAAAATAAACAGCTCTTTGCGGTAGTCAGTGTAACAAATTATACATTGATGAAATATTGAACATTTTATCAAAAATAGTGATCATTTAAATATATCATGCAATAAAATAAATGTTAGGCTTGTATGATTCGCAGGTTTAAAAGGTTATGCTGTCGAAAATTTTTACAAAACTAAATACTATTTTAGGGGAAAAAAATAATTACTAGTCAAGAGACACTAATGGATCGCTACTTCACCAACCAATTCATATCATTTTCAACTCTAATCATATAAGCTTATTGTGCAGATAATTGTAGAGTTTGTTTATGTAAAATCAAAAAAAAAAAAAAAAAAAGCTTGTATAAAATATATAAGACCATATATAATTACTTTCATTGACCAATATCTAATTTAAGTGCAAGTATACTCGTATCTAAACACTTCACAAAAAGAAAAATCTTGTTATTTTATTTTTTGTTATAATCATGTAAATAAATCAATTTTACATACTTCAAACTCATAAATATTTATATGAAATGAAACCAATTATGCCAAACTTTCTAATTTTTAACAATTTACGTTATAATAAAATTTCTTCTTAGTCACTTAATTTATCATTTAAAGCAAGAAAAAAAAACATATTTATTAAAGTTTTTTCCAAACTAGTATAATAAAAGCATTTTCCAGAAAAAATGCACCTTTATTTTTCTATTTCTCAGTAACACTGGAAAATCTAATAAAAGAATAGAAAAATAACCACATTTAAGTACTTCTGGGTATTTTTCTATAATAGATACTTAACATTTTTACACAAACTAGTTTGTTTTTTTTTTTAATCAAAGTATTTTATTAAAATATATGTTGAAATATTATATTTTAGTAAACCTACAAAGACATAATCTCTATAGTTATTCGTTATATTTAAAAAATCTAATTTTATAAGTTTCGATTAACAATTATAATATCAAATCATAAACCTATAAATTTAAATTAAAACTTATAGGGGTAGGCTAGAGATAAATGTTAAAATAGTTGTAATATGTAATTTTTTAAATTATGTGATGCTGTTCACCAATAATTATTTATTTTTATATTTATATATTTTACACCTTGACATGTATAAGACAACTTAAAAAACCTCTATTGAAAAAGTATTTCATAGAAAACTTATATATGAAATAAATTTAACATAACTCTGGCCAATTTTGATTTGGTTTTTAGATCTCCGGAATGAAGGTCAATATAATTAATGTAAAACCAAAAATGAAACAAAGTTTTCATAAAATATTCAAACATTTAACCAAGTATCACTAACACCGGACAGATGCCAAGGGGACACTTGCATAAGTAATGGAAATCGATTTTGTAATCTGGTCTCACGGAAACTTTCAGTTTTTAATTAAAAACTTACTTCATCTGAAAGCTGACGAAATTTGTTACTTTTCAATTTCTCTGTAACCCTAACAAAAAGAAGAAATGAATGGAAAGAAGGGTGGAAATGAATATTATTTTTAAACAAAATGTAATATTTATCAAAAAGTTGGTAGCTCCAATTTGGCAAATTAACATTGTAGGTTTGGACTACACTTTTAAGATAACCTAAAATAATTTTTTGATAAAACAAAATCAGTAAGCTTTGACATACATATTTGTTAGAAATTAAATTCCTATAAAACAGTTGAGCAAATGCTAGCGAGGGAAATGTATTAATAACCATTCTGGATTTATATGAATAAATAAAATAGAAATCCAATGAATTTATAGCATAAATTCACTTCCTTCGAGTATCTTTTTATAAATTATAACAAACCAAAAACTTATATACACTATTTCTTATTACAGTTCATCCTTTGGTGCAAGTACCAAATCAACTAGTTGGAGCTCCTCAGAAAACAGATATCACTCTTCAATGTTACGTAGAAGCGTCACCAAAATCAATTAATTATTGGACTAGAGAATCTGGTAAATATGCATTAATATTATATACACCGCAAAATTTGAACTAAATATCTAAAAATGTTCAAATAAGATTATACTATTACTGACTATATTGTTTACAAAAACCGCTAATACCAATATACCTAAGTACCTAATGTATATAAATGATATTCAATAATAACACTAATCACTATATGTAACGCGTTCAATAGTTGCTTATTATTGTAATTCTCATGATACTTAACTATGTTACCCATTATTTTGAATAATTAAAACCAATGATATTCACTTTCAAATAAATATCACTAATTAAAAATGTATAAAAATATACTTAACAAGTTGTTTAAACAATATAACACTTTAACCAAATTATTTAATTAATATATTATATTATACAATAGAAATGTCAATCTAATATTTAGTTTGATATAGATCTAAATTTAAATTTATTTTTTAATGTAGTTTTATTCACATTATTTATCAAGAAAAAATAATAATAATAACAATAATACCGCTAATATAAATAAATTAAATTTTAAACTTTTTGAAAAAACTGTTATAAGAATATTTTATCTGTACAAAAATCCATAAACTCGCATCAAAAAAATAACGAAACTAAATTGATATTTACTGTTGTATTTTTACTTTTGTTGGAGTAGATAAACTGCGTATAGTAAACAACTTCGCAATGAGAAATAAATAACAAAAATAACAAGCTCATCTAATCGCTTGAATTGAATTCCAATATAGATAATAGTTTCATGAATTGAAAATATTCATTACCGCGTGTAATACATAATCCATATACGATACAAAAAAAATAATTTCTAGATATAAAAAAAGTATTTCACTAGCCTTTTTTTTTTTTTTTTGTAATTTGATGACATACAATAGAGAACACAAAGGCCACCAAATGCAATATAATATTATGAAAGGGATGGTTAAGGTGAGGATACCGTGTGTGTGTGTGTGTGTGTATGTATGTGTTTTTGTGTGTGTGGGTATGTGAGAGTGAAGGGATATGGCGATAGGAGGAAAATAAGGGGAAGCAACTAGGTTGACAGTATAATTGTATTGGTTCAAAGGCCATGCCGCCGAGGGTAGGTGGCAGTGCGAAATCCACGACCCCGGCATACTACTCTCGGCGTTTCCTCCTCATGCCACTCACCCCGACTACGCGATGCCTTTAAAAAGCTCCAACCACAATCGCGACGATGTGTACACTTTATTTAAAGCCATGCTAATAAATATAATTTACATGTTTTTCAAATAATTCTATCCAGTACACCGAAACCTCATACGCGCATCATCGTGCACACGCAGCACGTGTGTGTGTGTATGTATTTGTGTGCACTGCACAGGGTATAACTACGTTTTATACCTACTAACTAATCAAAATCTGAAAATACACAGATTTGAACAAGGTGTATATCATCTACAATCCTACCTAACTACCACACATCTTCCACGACGCATCATACCCCCGCAAACATTGGTCATCGTCTGGTATCGTTCTGAACGGTAATATCGGTAATAGCATTGGTAGTTACATTTATAGCAGTGAAACCGTTGGCAAAATTTTTGATAAATAATCATGATAAAGAGGAAGTGATACACCAGTAGTTTAAATGTAAAATACCTTTAACGTTGGACAAAACCAAAATTCAAAGTAAAGGCTCTATTTAGAGAAGAGCATTCTGTGATTTAGAATATTTTGTTTTTCGTTAGTAAAAATATAAGTCACAGTTATTTATATTTTAACATTTATAAAATGTAAATTTTTTTTGTTGAGCTATAAAATGTTATTGAAAACATTTATCGAAAAAAAAACACAATATCATAGATAATGTTATTCTCTTTAAAACAACAACAAAAAATGGAGCCTCTTCTATTAATTTACACTGACTGGTTTTATACCGTACATATGATATTTCTGCCAAAAATCGTAGATGATAATTTTATCTCTAGGTCCACAGACGCGATCACGATCACGAGTCACGCACTCGCATATATGCCCGTACGGTTAGTACTGTAACCCCTTAGCTCCTATCATCGTCGATCTATGGAGCATTAAACCCGAGGCACACTTCGGGTTTCACTCGAGTATCACGTCCTTTCAAATCATATTTTTTTACATCGATACGATATTTAACACCACAGTGTATCAACTCTCGAAAAATCTCATATATTATCATCACTAGAATGTAAAAATAAACTCGATCACCATGGAAAACATGACGACTATCATGTCTAACGAACTCGAATTTAAATATTAATAAACATTTTCTTTCCACCCCGGATATATTATATAGTGTCGTGTTCTCATCATTTCATATTGTTGCGGCAAGTGTACACGCACTGCATCCCTAAGGGACATAAATGCCAACGGGTCATTATCGTGGTATTTTATTAACGTATAATATTATACACATTTCAATTAAAAGCCACTCTACCGTGTTGTACATGCATATTGTGTATATGTATTATGCAGCGCAGGACCAGAGCGGTCTCAACAAATGAACGTTTGAAGTGTTAATGTGCTTTGAAAACAAACGAAAAATCGTCGTACGCACGCAAGCGTGTTGACAATATAGGGCAATCGTTTTATAGGTATGAGCCATATTTTTAAAAAATTACAAAACTGAATGAGCTGCATTGGTGTGAAAAAAATCCTTTTTTTTATACGTCTTTCGCCTCCATCCACCACTAATTAAATTTAGTTCCGAAGAAAACTGTTAATTAATGTATTATTATCATATTATGAAAAACAAAACTGAATGTTAAGGCTACCCTACAGAACCATATTTCGCAAACTAAAAAACCGTAAGTTGCCGACCCCCTAACGTAAGCGTTACCTGCACGATTCACATATACAATAAAAATAATATAATATTATAATGAGCATTTTCATGATCTGCGCTGCTGCAGCGTCTACTGTTAGATCGATATTCATAACACGAAACAACATCGACTTACAATGTACATCAATATAGCGCAGTAGCATTCGCAATGAATAGAGATTAACACGATGGATCAATAATTATTATTCAACCGATGGCGGTTATTAAAATAATATTTTATTTATTATTATTATTACGTTAGTTAAATACCACGTACATGATTATAATATTAAAATTATTAATTGTGTTTAAATATGTAGAGACAAAACATTAAGTGTTTTACATATATATATATATATATATATATATATATATATATATATATATTCCACAAAACGTTCTACGGATTTCGATGTAATATTGTGTGCAATGATTATGATGCTTGCCGTTCAAATATTATTAATTCATATTTGCCGCACCCGTTTCTTCTCGTTGGTTTCAAAAGTGATACATAACGCTGTTTTAATAGTAATTTTTTTTCTTAAGGTGATTTAAAACCGTTAAATTTACTTGCTTATTTAATTTATATATACAATAGAATCCGTTTAAAACGCTTTCCAAGGGACCAGGTAAAAAAAACGTATTAAACAAGAAATCGTAATGCAGGAAATTCAGATTGAAAAATAAAAATTGTACATTAAATTATAATTTTTTTATTCTAATTGCATTTATATTGTATTATTATTACAAGTATACTAATACATATATACTTATTATTACATTATATTTTTATTATTTAAAATTACATACTATTTTAAAATTTACATTTACACATACCTATAAATCACATATATTCTGCATTAAAAAAATCATCAATTTTTGTTTGTTTTGAATTTTTAGTCATTTTTAAATGAAGGAAGTTTTCAACTTTATAAACGTTTTGTAATGTTCCATCTGCATTGTTAAAAGATGAAATTATTCACCTTAGTTCGTGTACATAAAAAAATGCATTTGTTACGGGGAAAATTGGTATTGTATCATCCTCTTCCTCCTCTTCATTTTCTTCCTCTATAGTACTGACATCAGCAGATAAAATTTTATCAGTTATTTTCTGATCAATACTTCTAAGGCTACTCTTAGAAATATTATCATCAATTTCTGCATACCCAGGAAACTCTTCTAAATCTTGAATACCGTCATTGATTTGATATTGTGATTATTAATTGTATACTACATAATATCATTGACATAGAGCGTCTTATCTGGGAATACAGAGCGTATTATCCGGAGTCTTTTACATGTTAACGGCTTTCAAAATCAAGGGACTCATGAAAATGAGCGTATTACACAGGAAATCGTATTCAACGAGAACGTCTTAAACGGATTCTAATGTATATATATATATATATATATATGTACAACAAAAATAGTTTTCAAATTGTTTCAATATTTTTTAAAATACTATATACTATAAACTAACCAACAGAAATCGAAATACTGTTCATTAAAATAAGAAAATAATTATAATTAATACCTATTAAATCTGCTTGATACCATATTCAATTTATACTAAAGCAAGGACATAGAATTAAAACATTTTCTAAATTTTTAATTTATACATTGATCAGCTGAATACGTATTCATTATATACACATAAATGTTAATTTAATAATGTTGAATTGCAAATGCGCACATCAAATATATTAAACGCACGAGAATTATTATATTCTCTGAAATTTGATGAATATCAGTACTATACATAATTCTGCAATGGTTCTAATTTGTCAAACATAATTAGCGTCCAGGGATTTCGGATTGTACTGATACAACGCGAAAGCGGAAAAATATAAATCAAATCCCCGACGAATACATACATGTATCTGTGACGTAAAAAATCACCAAAAATATTGAATGGTTTATTGTATTAATATATTAAACTCGTTTTCTTAATTCGTTTTTTTTTCAAATTCACATAAAATGCGCAAAGTTTAAAAAAAAAATCTAAAAACACTAAAAGTGTCAGTCTTATCCCTTTCGTGTTTCTAAATCATCAAATATTTTTCTTCAAGAATTTTAATAAGATAGCGGTGGAAGAGAAGACGCTGTACATGTTTCCGTAGAACCAACGATGTCTAAATGTAGCACCAAAATCCGGATACATGAACGCATACACACGAGTTCATTGTCACATGGACAAGTGGGTAAGGTTAAAGTTTAACAAGTATATAGTCATTTATACTCATTGGACGAAACAGAAACTTAACTTCACCGACGTGGCAACATAACGTAATAATGTAATAGGTAACACGGCAACTTTAAATTATATTCGTACACGTCTCGTCTGTGTTTACCAACCGGGGGTAAAAAAAAACACTGTCGAAGTATAGTGCCTCTGTACAAACAGCCTATAAATAGTACTAAGTGTTCAATCTGCATGTTCAGTGAACGGTGGTAATACATTCGTGCGAAATTACGAAAAAACGAAATCTCAGGAGTCTGTAGATGCATTATTGCAATATTATACAATGTCTTCGTACAAAGGGTGAAATGAAATAAACGATGAACGTCTACAAAAGGAATCGCAATTAGTTTGGCAAACCAAAAAACTGTCCATCTTTATTATACAGTACCTTTCCGACCATATCTCACCACCAATAGAGCAGTCATTTTATTCTTTATGATATTTACGATAGAGTCTTAAAACCTTTAGAAAACTCGTCCCAATGTATATGCTTCAGAATATAGTTTTATTAGTTCTCACTTACGAGTCTTCAGTAAACAAAACAAGTAATAAAATTAATATTATTATAACTATAATAAGTATTCATCACCTATCAAAATTTGTATTTTTTTGTTTTTGGCGAACCTAAGCGAAAAACACTTAGTGGTGTATTCAAAAATATTTTTATTCCTCCATATTATTTTTAAATGATAACAAAATATGTATAGATTTTTAAATTTCATAAAGTCTCAATATATATTTCAGGATCAGGATCAGGCTGATCCTGATTTTTAAACTTTCAATTTCTTATCCTCCCATTTTTCATTACTTTAAGAAAATAAGTTCAGCTAAATTTGGTCATGATTACTTAACCCCTTTGCGTACTACTAAGAGGTTGAACAATTCCAAAATAAGGTTGATTTGTCAATTTTTAAAATTAATTTCAAAAATATTACACTTATCAATAAATTTATAATAAGTAAATTATAGATATATTTTCAATAAAAATACATTCTTTACATTTCTTATAAGTCTATTATTTCCAAATAAAAATTATGAATAACTAAATATTTAATTTATTTGGCAAAACTGATTTTATAAAATGTTTTATATACGAGAATTATGAAATAATATTTAATGATTCAACCAAATATTATAAGTAAAAATTGTAAAAAATATAATTTTCTAAAATAAAGTATATTAGTAAGAATTATATTAGATTTTTAAAAAGTTTAAACAATTTTTACTTTTAATATTATAGTTTACCCTATAATTAAGCTGAATATATCTATATACATCATTAAAATTTTACTATTATACTATATAAAAAGTAAATTTCCCGTTTATCGGATACACCAGACTGTCAAACAAAATGAATAAATCAATGTATTCTCTTCTATTAAGTACTTAGAATTAACTGGTCAATATTAACTGAGAGAAAAATAATAAAAAAGATTTAAAGTTAGTAATTTATTTTGATTGTAAGGCGTAAGAAAAATGAGTACACATTTAAATAGACATTTACAAATGTTCTCATTTTATTGATCTTAACAACTCGAACATGAACAAAACGTCTAATCAATTAAATATACTCAAAACGTATTGGATTCAATAATTATATTTGTTTTTTTTATCTCAAAATGGTTCTACTCGTATTTTTAACAAGACGATTATAAGCCTTGCTTTACATGTCTATCGCACAGCTGCATACTAGTTGCAGATAACTTGTTTTGACTGATATTGTACAATACAAATTACGGACACGAGTGATATTATCAACATACCAATTACAGAAATAAAGTTAATATGCATCATGTGAGTGGCTAACAAAACCTTAAAAGGTAACATACGAATTATGGACATTAATTTAACAAATAGTTGGGGACAAATATTTCTGATAAAATTATAACAACGATTTCAAACGCAACCTGAAAATATAAAAATATTTGAACAGTCGCTAATTTTAAATTTTTTTATAAAAACCTAGTCACAACACTTGACAAAAATTTTTAAATATTTATTTTTAAAAAAATGTAGATAAATAGGTACAAAATCAAAAATATACTACATAAATTAGTTTGCGTTCATTATACCAAAAATAATGATTGGAAATTTGTTTGCAATTAGTATGCTATATTTGTATACAACATTCATGTGTTACCATTTTATGTTATATCCGCAACTCATGATTCTTATTACTTTAATCGCCATTCGGAAACTCCATATCACATTCACAACACAGAGATTGAGACATCTTATATTCCCAACGTACCAATCATTAAATTGATGCGATACGAATCTCGAAAACTGATTTTAATTCGTTGTAAAGTCTACTTTAAATCGATTTTCCACTTTTTTAACTTTGCACTTAACAAAAAATTGATGAAAAGATTGATCTAAAGTAGACTCGGCAAATTAATTTTTATGTCAAATTTTTATAATCAATTATATATTATATTATATAATTATATATATATATATATATATATATATAATATATAATATATAATATATATATATAATACTCTTAAATCTTACAATGGTAATAAAATAGTATTTAAATTAAATTATATTAATCTCTATAAATTAGAAATTATTCATAAAATTAATTGTACAATACCAATATACCCACATTCCTAGTAAATTCACCGTCTATTCCTATCCTCTTTATTTATTTACACTATTATATCCGAAAATATATTTTTTCTGATGTTATTTTGTCACGGAAATTTTCATCATAGACTATCCTCTCAAAGAACAGAGATCTTTCTTATTCAGTTTTTATTAATAACTGTTTATTTTTGGAAAAAAGAAAAATCAAAATATACATTAAATTTTATTTACAAATAATATATGCATAACATATTAATCTTAATGTTGGTGTATTGTTACAGGAGAGATGATAATTTCAAATGACAAATACAATATGACAGAACTAACAGTTTCATATTACAGTGCTCAAATGAAACTAACAATTAGAAAACTTAAAAAGTCAGACTTGGGAGGATACAAATGCATATCGAAAAATTCAATTGGAGAAGCCGAAGGAAATATTAGAGTTTATGGTATATCAAATATTTTGGATTTGAATACAAAATATTTTAACTCAACTATTTAAAATATATTTGATAACAGTATAAAATTTCAATAAAAATAAAAATTACAATTTACAATTAAAATTTAAATAAGACAAAAATAACTCACCTTGGAGCTATATTTACTTTTTTAATAAATATTAAATATCAATACACATTAATGACAAATTAAAAATTATTATATGTACGTTATTTTAAATTATATTATAACTCAAGAATTAAAATAGATTTAATCTAACCCCTATACTGCTATAAAATTACACATTATAAGAGAACGATTCTCATCATTTTTACTATGCATCTAAATATATTTGTAAATAATTCAGTAATCCAGCATTTGCCGTTAATAATTCAAATCAAAAAAATACTATTAATTACGTTCTCGCACATCGAAAATTAAAAAAGAGTAACAGTATATCATTCTGCTTAATGCTCAAAAACATAATTTCAAAATTCAATTGACCTTTTATTTATATATAACTAAAATGCATATTTATAATAGCTATATTTTGTTTAAACTATTTCAAATTATGGGACAATTTATCTATATTTTTGATTACAGAAATGAACTTAACCAAACCTAGAACACTCAGTGAGGACGAAGAAGACAATGCTATAAACACGTTTAATTCTGAAGAGGATGATTATGAAAACAGAAACACAGGACGCAATTCATCAAGCAACGCACCATCCTTCAAAGACCAATCTCACCGTTTACATAGGTCGTCTTCAAACATGATTCGTTGTATCTACTTAGTTTTGTTAATGCCAGTGTTAACTCTGATAAAAAATTGAACTGTTGTTATATTCGGATTTAAGTAAACAAATCTTGGGGTTGAACAACAACTATTTCATTTAACCTTTAAATTACATAAGTATACGTGATGTGTATACATTTTTCGTTCTTCCTATAGCATATGACCAAAATAAAAATAAATTGGTGTGAAAGAGTAAATTTCATATGTATTATAACTATATATCTATATGTATACCTTTTCATTAAAATAATATAATATAGATATCAAAAAACACGCTAAATCCGTCGACAAGTACAGTTGAAAGTTATACTGTAATTTCCTGGGTGATCAATATTCAAATCGAATACAGCAGGAACATATGATTAAGCAATAACACAATTCAATACATTTACTGTAACAAATAAGTATCGTTATAATTTAAAATGATATTTAGGTATTATTCGTCTATAGATAAACTAATTAATCGTTGAACTGTATATTTACATTATATATACTTATATACATTTTGAGAACAATTAATTTGATTTATCATTAACTATGTTATATTATAATTATTTTTGTAAATAATACATTATTTTAATCTAACGTTCAGCCTCTGATTGTTTACAGTACCATAATATGAATTAAGACTATACTTATCCAATTAAATTTAAAAAATACAAATGTTCTTTACATGAGAAATAATATGAAGTTGTTAATGAATTAATCACGTTCAATGTTCTACCGTAAATTAATGTATACAAATTAATATTACGTGTAAATAAATCTATAGTTAATACAATGTATTGAACACTTTGTTTTTACTAAAAAGCATCATTAAACAAACAAAAGTCTTAACAATTTATTAATTATTGTTTTTATATTACAATCATCAATCATTTCTACATAGTAAATTTATACTTTAAAAGTGTAAAACTATTTAAACAGCGTACGCCCGTCAATACATATTGTTAGATAAAATATAAATATATACCTATGTTGAATGTACATTTTACACATTTCCTTACAACTTTTAAAGGAAGATTTTTTATATATTTTTTTTTTATATTTTTTTCAAATATCATCTGAAATTTAATTAGGTCTAAACAAATAATTCAGATACCTCTCAGACTCCAACTTCTCTAGAAATATAATTTTATAAAAATAATATGAAGTTAATCAATTAGATAAAAGCGAAAAAAATTCAAACTTAATTGATTACCTTCGAATAAAAAATTACAATTATAACCATTACTTCAATTAGTTAAATCCAAGATAGTGACTTTGGCATAACACAACGCGAAATATACCATGGAGTTTACCTAATTCACTAACTAAACATTATTTAAGCAACGAACCAAATTCATATTAAAATATATTCTTACAATAAATATTAATAAGATTCTAGCTATCCAATAATAGTTTTATAATTCCGATATGATAATGAATTCAGAATTATGATATTATTATCATCGAGTAGGTATCTAGTTTTGAAACATAATTAGCATATCATACTGAGCATATCCAAATTATTATAACTAATTAATAATTAAACGGCAACAGTTTTAATATTACCTAAATAGCTTAATGAAATAAATCAATATCTTTATTCATATTGATAAATTTATTTATTTCTAATATTTGAAATAACTTTATGTATTATATACTTAACTATAATTAAAATAATTCATGACGATGGTAAACGTTTCTATGAGTCATATCTACACCGCTATCTAGCGGTTTTTCAATCATAACAAAAATAAATAGACCTTTGCGGCTTTGCAGAATATATTGCGAATAAAAAATTCTGAAACATTTTTATTTTTATTTTATAAATTTATCTAATTTTGTAAAATGTTCATCTAAGATACGTTCTTAAATACTTTGTAACTATTTATCTAGATAAAATAAAAGATAAATAAATAACTATCTAGGTCAGCGGTTCTCAAATTTTTTTTGGTTAACACATCCCCATAATAAAGAAAAATTTAATGACGCCTTCCATGAATAAATTAAATTAAACGTTTTTATTATTTTAATAAAAGCAAATTACTGACGATCTACGTCTATCTAACCTAACAATGCAATATACAATATAAATATTTGCCTTGCGCCTCCCCCATTAAGTGCTTGCACCTCTCTAGGGAGGCGTGCCTCGTAGTTTGGGAACTACTGATCTAGGTAATTCATCTAGATAAGTCCAAACACTGAATATAAGTAATGTTTTTAATGGCACTTTTTGGTAAAAAGTGGACACTGAAAACATACTAAAATAAAATTTTTATCAATAGATCGATATTAATATCTTTCTCGAATAAAAGAATAAAATGATAATTAATTTTACGTTATTCAATTGAAAATTATTATACTATATTGGTAATTAAGTCAGACAGTTAAAATCAAACAACGTTAAAGGACTCACATATGTATCTTTGTCTGACAACGTACAACATAGCAAATTTGAGTTCAGTAGCTCAAAGTAGTACTGTTAGCTTTAATATTGGAATAAACTGATCTATAGTCAAACTAAAGGGGAAGACCATTTTCTGTGTCTTGTTGGTTAGTTTTCGCGATATTTTAATTTTTAAGCATGTTAATAGAATGTAAAATATTACAAGTAAAAAAAACTCACAACTCGCTTAAAAATTAAAATATCGCAAAAATCCGACCAACAGAATACAGATAATGTTCCAACCTAAAAGTATTAAGCCGGTCTCACACTGGAACCGACTATATGCAACTTTTGGTCGTACGTAGTGCCGCACGACTAAAGGTACGATTTCCAAGCTGCGACTAGCCGCAGCGGCTGGCCACAACGACCAACCGCAGTGATTGACTGCTCTATAAGTAAATGCCTTATCGTGGTTTCCAACGTCCGATCAACTAGTGCGTGTTAACAATAGTCGTTGTGTTTGACGATCGCAGTGCTCTGGAAGCAGTATATTGCGTGAGTTGCATCGCAATTTTGTGCTGAATGAATTTAATATATATTTTTTTAAAGAAATTAATTTTATCGGAAAACATCGAAAACTCTCTTTATTGACAACTGACAACTGACGATGAGCTGTTAGTTGAAGAAGTCTTATATATATATAAAGTATACATTATTTCTTCTTCCAACTTTAATAATAAATTCATGATTATTTTATTATTATTTACAATTATTTGTTCCATTTTTAGTTATTTAAAATGACAAATTAAAATAAGAAAACACTCTTGTGCATCACGAAATATCGAGCTGAACTAAACTAAACTGAAAATTAATACAAGCCGTAGCATTCAGGCGTATGTAGAAAACCACTACACACACAACGATCAGTCGTACGACTTAAGCACGAACCTTCTTAATCTTGATAACACAATTAGCGCTCTCACATTAAACACGATTTTGTCGTGCGGCCACGTGTTTTTATCTCAGACCTGCGACTTGATCCCAACTTGCTCGGATTTTTCCCCGTAAGTTGTATGAATTTATACATTGATTTATATTAATTTGATTTATTACTAACCATGGACATAGTACAAGATGACAAACCATCACAGTAAATAAAAAAGAACATAGCCGTACATAGTTGACAGTCGTACGCAGTCAGTACTAGTATGAGAGTAGCCAAGTCGCCCGTTGTCGAAAATAGTCTGCAGTCGCACGCAGTCGGTTCCAGTGCGAGACCGGCCTCATTATAAATCAGTTTAATCTGATATTAAAGCTAACATCATTACATTTGAACCACTGAACGCAAATTTGGTATATTACACATGTATCAGACGGAAACAACACATTCGGGTGTGGCGTACTCTTAAGGAAATTGAGTACATATTAATCTTTATCAAATTATTAAGCCTGCAAGAAACTTAACAAATTAAGGCTCAATTAACTCAATTTAAAACACATAGGTTTATGGAGTTCAAACAATAACGCCGGTTTGGAATTTCCATAGAAACGATTGATAGTCTAACCATCAAGTCAACCCTATAAAAGTTGAGAAAGGAATAATTTCTAGCAAAATTTTAGCATAAATTTGAAAACTTTAGGTTCAAGTCGGGAGGGGGGCAATTTCAGAGGCCTGTCGATTGTTAAACATATTATAATTATACGTAAAACGTTTATAAAAATTACAAACATACAGATCGTGTGTACCTCCAAAATAGTAGTGAAGATTTAGATACTAAAAAATCAGATCAGTGGCTTCTGATATATTAAATATATATATATTTCAATCGCAAAATACTTGCGCCCACAGGTTTTTCCATGAACCAGCGCAAATATAAATATAGGGCCCCCAAATTTATTTTGGCTTACATCCGTATGACCATATTTATTTAATTTAAGTAATTATTTTTCCAAATGCATTTTCAAATACATGTTTACCTTAAATAGATTTAAAAATATTGCAAATTTCTGTACGTTTTTTTAACAGTGGTTTGAAACATTTCAATAAGTTTTCATTAACCGTTTTTATATTTACTTACCGATCACATTAAACGAATAAAAAATCTACATATCATCGTCCAAAGGCAAAATAAACAACGAATAGCCGTGACGAATCGATTAGAGTATTTAATATAATATTAATAATAAAAAAAATAATAATAAATAATAAGCCATACGAATATACAATAAACACAATTACGTGTCAATCTATATACTATTGTAAACATATTGCATACAATTTACACTGGAAAATAATACGATAATACGAACGAAAATAGAAATACGTCGGTCTAAGCGTAATATGGTCTTAAGCTTATAGACTTATAAAGATATCTTTATATCCATGGGTCTTACTAATAATATAGTGAACGCTCATCCACCTGATAATTCTGCGGTAGAAAAAAAAAATTATATTACTGTTATAATTTGTTATTATATAGTTAAGCATGAAAAAGGCCACAATAGCCAAATAGCATTAATAAAAATAAAAATTAATTATATTTTTCAATGATTAATCATATTTCCTAAAAATTATAATACATTAGAAAACTTTGGTTTTTGTCATTAAGAAATTACCATCGGAACCCCCATTGCCCTCCCTTAACTTATTCAGAAAACCATTATGAAATTCAAAAAATTACCCCTCAATTTTAGGTAACAAAGACACAAATTCTTATATTTTATGATCTAGATCAGTGGTTGGCAACCGGCAGCCCACCGACCGCATCCGGCTCACACGTCTTTTTATACAGCCCGTATTAAATTCTAAAACTAGGAAATTTCATTAAACATCATATCAATTTTTCGATATCACCCGTGTCTGACCCGTAAACTCTGTTTGTGAATGTGACCCAAGAGTCCAAAAAAATTGTCGACCACTGATCTAGATCATATACATAGTAATACAAAAACACGTATTGGTAAAACTAAATCAACTCTAAAAAATGCAGAGTGAAATTAATATAAGTACATGTACTATGGTATAATATACATATATTATATGTAGTTAATGAACAGATAAAACAAATAAAAATAGCACTATTTCATAAATGAGCTGCCTCTTATATTCATTGTATTTTATACTTAAAGTTAACAATAATCAGTCGAAGGCGTTATGACTGAGCGGCATTGTTTCTTTCAGGCACTTCCCCCGGAAAAGGGCTGAGCCACCAGAGAAGAATTCAAAGAATAATAAAGAAATATCAAATATTAAAAAAATGTAATATTGATATCGCGGTAAATGACCTACAATCATCAGATATGAGTCAATACCGTACTTTATTTATAAAATGATTTGTCTCAATTGAAATCAGTAGACAGTAATCACATAGATATTGTTGTTCAGCAATAAACAAAACTATTAATTTATACGCAGCTAAAAATATTACCAAATTTGGTATTTAATTTCCTTAAAAAGAAATGTAGGAATAAAAGTAAAGTAATAAGATTTTATTTTAGGTACATTTAACTAAAATGTTTAAGCGTACAGCGTTACAGGTTCAAACCGAGGTAACAGTTGGTTTTACTTTCTGATTAGGATGACCATCCTAAAAAAAGTGACCACCAATGTCTCTCAATCTAACGTTTTTCACAAAAACAAGCTAAATATAACCTCAAAAAAACATTTGACATTCATTGACCTAAGTAACTATGTAAGAATTAATAACAAAAAATAAGCATTAAAAAAAAATTAGTCATAAAAATTTTTTTTATCTTAATTAATTAAATAAATTTTCATTCCCACTGAATGTTTATCGGAACTTTGGAAATCATGAGTCATTATTACGTAGTCCAATATTTGTTATGTATAATAAATTCTTGCCGTTAATTAATTAATATTTAGTATTTAATTTTATTTGGCATTTTATTAAAATAATTTATAAATAATTTAATTTTTGTTGCATAGTTAGAATTACTGCACTATAGTACTAAAAGTATAATTATTCATGTATATCAATATTAATTATCATGTTACGATAGGTAAGGACTGTCCACTGATTGTATCTCACATACAAATCCAATGCAATCATTAGGTTGTGTGCTGTTGACAATGAAAGACTTGAAAGTAAAAAATAATAATATAAATACCTTGTTGTTATATTATTCGTATTAAAATGATACAACAAATTTGCGATAGCGAAAATGATTTTTAATAATAAATATTTTTTATTTCTCTTTGAAATTTGTAATCAAATTTAAAATGAAATATCTATTTTTAATGTCAAAGATTTAAGTACTCATAATAAAATAATGGAAAATGCAAAGGACAACACGATAACAACAAATAACGTAGTGAACTTCAATCATTTTATTGGTTTACCAGGTACGTTTAAAACGGGCATAGATAAAACTATATATGAGTCAAAATTAAACAATGTTTTCCTTGCAAATTCTATCGAAAGTGACGTAAAAAAAGAGCCATATTGCTCTCTTCTGTCGACGAAGAAATATATAAATTTTTAATCAGTCAGTGTACTCCGAACAAACCCGAAGACACTCCATATGATACGTTAATGGCTAATTAAAATAAATATTTTAAGCCGACCCAGTCTTACTTTGCGGCAATACGTACATTCTACCAATCAAAATAAAGACAAGACGAAACAGTTTGCCAATGGGGTACACGCGTAAAATATCTTGCTTCTATGTGTGGTTTTTCTTCCGAATTATCAACAGTAATTCGAGACATTTTCGTCGCTGGAATGGTTAAAGGACCAATTCAAGATCGATTACTCGAAGAAGACGTATTTAAAATTGGAACAACATATTCATTTCTAATGGAAATAGCCATCACAAGAGAAGCAACTATGAACGACAAAAGTAGATTAAAAATGGAAGAATGTGTAGACATAAAATACCACAAGGGAATCAATGTTTCCAATAAAGCCAATAAATGGTCTAACCCATCCAAGAAGCCCATGGAAAAACGTGGAGTTTCTGGCTGTTCCGACCATATTCGAAAGGACTACATTTACAAGGATTACGAAAACAACAATTTCAATACATCAAACTCTTCGAAAACTTTGAAGCGTATTCCAAAAATGATTGTTTTTGATTTAGGTATGTTATTTTCATAACTAACTATATTACTGTAACATTTATATAGCAAAATGTATGCTTATAGTTCGCAATACTAAAAATATAAATTTATATAAAATTTATTTATTTTAAATTTTTATTTTTTTTTTTTTTTTTTTTTTTGAATAGTCTATTTGTAATTAAATATTACAATAAGCATGCATGTACATATAAAATAAATACATTTAAATAACAATAATTTAAAAAAAATAAATAAATTTCTAATAAAAATGAATATTTTAATATAGATAACTATTAGTAATAGTTTATTACACATTTTCATATTTTCATTGTATAGATTTTACATTATGGCCATTTCTAATTGATGCTCAAGCGAATCCCACTATATACAAAAAAAGGCAATTATATGTTATAACGAACACCAATAACGAGTATATATTATTAATTCATAGGTAAACAATTAGCAAAATATTTACCTTGTTCAAAAATATTGTCCAATACCAGTAAATCACGTTTATTGATGCACCGTAATACTTGCAATACTTCAAAATTATTCAAAATAGTTACAACAGGAATTAAAAAATCTACTCATTCTACTGCTACTAAAATTATCCGTAATGAAGAACCGCCAGTATTAAAAATAATGGGTAGAGCATCTTCTCCTATCTTACCACTAGCGTCAAGTTCAACATCTGAAACTCAAACTCAAGGTAAACGTAAACATATAAATATATTTGAATCGGATTCATAACCAGATGATCCATTTAATAATGCAAATTCATCTACTACTATGCCTAATTTAAGTTTAAATACATCCACTGCATGCTTATCGATTCCATTAGAAACTGACAATGATGTTCTTTTGATTTAACCGGTATTAAAGAAATTGCAATAGGACTTTCTAATATAATGTACAAATGTATATCATTAGCTTTAGAAAAACACAGCACTTATATTTACACAGTAATTAGTGATAATGCGGCAAATATGATAAAAATGAGTAAACTTTATGAGTATAAAATTTAATAGGAAAAGACTTATTTTTTATGTATACAAATAGTCCATACTATTAACTTGGCAACTGCAAATTTTACTTAAGAATATGAATATAAAAATATATTATATTGATATATTCTGTCTGTAGCAATATTTTTTATTTTCTTTTTAGATAGGTACCGATTCAAAAGAGTGGAAAAAGAAAACAGCAAACAAAAAGATATTTTAAATTTTTATAGTTTATATATTATACATAATTTTTAACTACCTAATATTTTTTTAGTTTTTACTAAGTATAAAATAGTAAGTATTTTTAATTTTTTAAGAGTGAATTTTAAAATCAAAACATATACGTTTTGGTCATTTTATACGTTTTATACGTGGGGTATTATACGTGTAACGTATTAAACGTTTTATACGCGTATATTATCAACCCTGATTATATTGATCCATATTTTGTGATATATATATATATATATGATAGGTACTTCATAGTAATAATGGTACGTTTTTCCCGTCGAATCTTTAGATTATTTTTACGATGTATTTATTGTTATACGAATGGCTGGGCGATAACACACCTTAATGGTGATTGCGGGGCTATAATAAACCAGTTCCCTAAATTTATAACTGGAATAAACACTTTAGTCTATAGCAGTGTTTCCTAACTGGTGTTCCGCGGAACCTAAGGATTACTTAGGAGTTATAAATTAGTATGTTTCACTTATTTCTCATCAAATACAAACAAAAAACAAAATTCAGTTTTAAACTAACATTCTTAATTTTTTTTTACTTATTAAAATTTTGATAATAGCTAAAACTCTTCGGGAATCATATTTATAGATTTATTTAAAACGTCAAAGATTGAATAAAGGAGCTATACCATCAATTTTCCCAATGAATGTGCTTCACTTAGCTAATATTATCTCTGATGAGTTTTGTAATATTATTTTTATTTCGCATTACTGTTAATAATTATTTAATATAAATATTGCCAGATTAAGGATAAATGAACAAATACAATGTTTCATGATCATAACTATTATCTCACAAACATTCTTAAGAAATATATATATATATGTTACGGGCAAAAGCCGAAATCGGGCAAACCTCAGAAATGCCCGGGCAAAACGCAAACTGCCCACAATCCTTGAGCAAAATGTCATAATTCGGCTTTTGACCGGATAAACCTAGTTATGACCAACCTCATTTGGGCAAAACTGCCAAAAACGTATACTGACTTTTATCGTAAGAGCGAAACCGTAGAGTCTTAAATATGTTTGTTAATATTAAATACGATTTTATTACGATTTATAGATGACCATGTGTATCTTGTTAATTTATCGCTGTTATTGTATTTTTTCAACTCGTTATATTAAAGGTACACAAAATACACTATCAAAATGGGGTTTAAACGTATTATTATTTTTAATTATTTATTTTAACATTATAAGAGTACCTAATATTATTATATGTTTATTTTTATACAAATACTTAATATTATTATATTTTATTATTATTTAATTGTATTAAATTATATCTAAACAATATTTTATGATAATTATTTTTTTGTATTTAATATTAACAAACGTATTTAAGACTACGGTTTACCCTTACGATAAAAGTCAGTATACGGTTTTGGCATTTTGCCCAAATGAGGTTGGTCAACTAGGTTTGCCCCGTCAAAAGTCGAAATATGACATTTTGCCCAAGGATTGTGGGCAGTTCGCGTTTTGCCCGGGCATTTCTGAGGTTTGCCCGATTTCGACTTTTGCCCGTAACATATATACAATATTATAGTAATATAATATTACAAAGTCCGAAGCAACCATGTATAGAGGTTTGTATAACTTAAAACTTTAATAGTTCCATCTAAATATGATTAAAAATATTATGAAGCTTATTTAATTTTAATACTAATAAATTTAAGTTAGTTGGTGATTTAATATCCGAAATTTCATCAAAAGTAACAGTTAAAAACTCTATGATTGAGGAACCCTATTCATTTACTTTACCATGGAACTGGTTATGTGATATAACAAAAAACAATTCATCGATAATTGTACAAACGTTTTTTATTTTGAGTCAATTTAATGAATATAACATAAGAGTAGTAGAAAAGCAGTTTGTTTTATTACTAGGTACCTAATACTTAATTTAATAATGAAATATGATTAAACTTACATAAAATAAATAATAAATACTTATGAAACACCGTTAAAACTGATAATTGCCTATGGACTCTGAACCATATTTTTAAGTAAATGGAGTGAAAATGAAATCATCAGCAATTGAAATCTACAATTATTGAATACCTATAAGCAATAATAGTTTACTAAGAATATTATTTGAATTTGATTATCAAATTTTGGTAAAAAATAATATGGAAGGAATAAAATATAAAAATGTCATAGCTTCATTTGGTCCACAATTTGTTTATTTTAATGGACACTGGAAACATAAAAATGGCCTAAATTTAATTCAAAACGATAATAGGTAACTTAATTGTACTAACTCACTGAGAGAAAATTAAGTGTTTTATCAATTAATTATTAGTTTACTGTATTCAATAATATAATTTTGAATTTAAATATACATGTTTCAGTAATATATGTTTATGGAATCTGGTCATGGTTCGGTTTGATCAAAATGCTTTAAATATTATTGGTTAAGGTTCAGATCCGGAGTAATCATGGGATGGATTGAGTTTATAATAAAAAACATTTATAATTAAATAATATGAAATTTATATTATCACTGATGTGGTCTGGTCTACAATTTCGAATTTATGTTACTTTGTTTCCAATTATTTATTAATAGCATTTTGTTCGTATTTCTTCAATGTTTTCTTTTCTTTCTCATATTTTTTTCCATATTTTTTTACATATTTTTTTCCATAGAAGCAAGATCTGAAATTCATAAAATATAATATTAATTTGTTGTAACAATAAAATAAAATAATTTATTTTGCTAGAAATTAAAAATAATTATAAGTTTTAAAAAAGTCATAAATCCAGATACTTTGGCAAATCCAGATAAGAATTTGATTGAAAGATGGATTTGAATATTCAGATATTCAGATAATTCAGATCTTTGGATTTCATACCCTTTCCTAGCACCTATCAACCAATGGTTGTGGTACAGTATTATTGATTTGAAAATAATAATTTTTTTGTTAACTTGTACTTCCTGAATAATATATATATTAACATTGCTTATAAATACTATTATTTATAATCCATATTATATAATAATTAATAATAATTAATTTATAACATAATATTATATAAACAAAAATGTAATTTACAGTTTTTTATTTAAAATATTATTTTTGTTCATATATAAAATGTATGTTTGTTTTGTTATTTAATAAAAGCAATTTTGTTGATACTTGGTTTTTTTTATTTATTCATTTTTAAGATTGTCAGCCCATTTTTAGATCAAGATAGATGGGTATACTAATAACTATATGTAGATACCATAAGAGTTAACCATAATTTAATATAATAAAACAATTTACATACATTCTGTTTTTTTATCTGAAAACTTGATCATCCCCTCGATAAAATTTCGCATTGTTATTCCATCTTCCACTAGATATGCTACAACACCAAAGCGCTGCACCTCATAAATATTACGTGGTTCATCATCAAAAAATAACATGTCCTCAAGATCAATTTCGCTTTTTGTGCGTATACTAATAACAAAAAAATCATCATATTGTTAAAGAATTTTTTAAATTTAATATTTTATACTAACTTATCAAAGTGACTGATTTTTGAATCTACAAAAAACATTTCTTTGTACTTAAAAAATTTATCCCAACCAAATAAAGTAATAAGTTGCTCAGCTGCAACCTTTTCTTCAGTTCTTGAAGCAACACCACATGTGATATTATGGCTTTGTAAAAATAATAAAATGTTGTGAGAATCGCAATAAGGTTTAACTTCACGTCCTCGGTAATCTATAACTTTACCAGAACTAAAAATTGCATCTAATTATTAGTATGTAAAAAAATCTAATACTTAATCAAATACTAGCCTGTCTTTTTGAAATTGAATGGGTTGTGGAAAACTATCAACCCAAAATGGCCATAATGTATAATCTGCAAGACAAATAATATTATTAACTATTTAATAATTGCATTAGTAGGTATGTAGTACTATTTATTTAGCTGAATATGAACTATTAATCTGTTAATTTAAAATTAAAATTTATTTTTATAAAAATTTTATACTTCATATATTTTTATTTTGTAGTGATTTAAAAAAATGTATGCGTATGCATTCTATATTTAAAAAGTTATAATTGCTATAATCAAATATCTGGAAAAAATTTAAACAAATATTAGTTATTTTTAGAAAAATATAAGACTATCTGTGTCAGAAACCTGGTAAAAAAATATAAGACAGTATAAATCTCTAGTAAATAGCATACATATAATAGGTAGGTAATATGAAAGGGTTGTAATTATCATTATAATGATAGTTTACAATAAAAATCTGTATAAATAATAATTATAACATTTTCTGAATGTAGTTAATGTTTAAATTTTAAAGTACACATATTATAAGAATAACAATACCTAAGCTAGTCATCTTAATGTAATTTGCATTTTAAATAATTAAGAAGCTGATAACATATTGATTCTAATTTTTTAATTAGGTAATTATTGAAAAATTTTTTTAAATATTGAAAATATTGATGATTGATAGTATTATTATGTACCATGTTATATTTTGAAGAATCAAGATAGCTTTAACAATAATGTAATATTAAATAAATATTTATTCATCTGTCAATAATAGCATAGAACACTTCACATTTTATTTAGGTATTTGTAGTTTTTCCCAATATAGAATTGAATAACTAATCATCAAAATTTTTATTACCAATAATACACATCTACAAATAATAAAAACTCGTAATATACACCTCGTAATAACCTCCATACATAATAATATATTATACATTCATATTTTACACCCATTATAGTATTCATAGCAAATAATATATTTACATTTTACGTATAGGCTATCACTAGAGCTAGAGGACTTCTAGGAGTTTACATGTTTTTAAATAATCATCAAAAACATAGCTAAGTAATATAGTAATTTATTTCATAGCAATACAAGGTTATATTTAAAATGTATAGTTGTATAATTTGCATATTTGACATTTTTTAATTTATAAGTGCATATTTGGCCATTTTTTTAATTTTATAACTAAATGACGATTATTTGTATGAAGAAGTAAGTTTTTTAATTTTATAAAAAAAAATGTATACATTTATTTCTTCATCTATCTAAATCTAATAAAATAATTTAAATTACAAAAGAACACATGCGTTCTACAAAAATTGAATGATCTACACAATCTAAAACAACTGATGACAAAATTAAAAAAGTTTTGGAGAAAGATGTTAGATTTGATAACTACAAAAAATATCAAATATTTTAAATGGACAAAATGATATCAGTAGTAGTGACCTACGATTTTTTAAGTGTGCATCAATAATTTCCATAGACATGAAACGTTCCTTTTCTAATTATAAAAATATTTTTGCTGATAACAGGCAGTCAATCAAATTTCCCAACATAAGAAAATATCTTATAGTCCAATGTAATGCTCAAAGCAATTAGTATTATATAAAAAAAGAAAAAAATGTATTCATTTAATTTATTTTTAAAATAATTTAAAATTTTTTGTTTTAGACAAAAACTCAATAAAAGATAAAAATAAATCTGAAAAAAAGAAAATAATTACCTCAGATCATCATAGATATGATATATCTATCATATCTAAAAATATTATTATTTATTACTAAGTTATTTTTTTTATTTAATCAATTATTAGTAGGCTTAAGGACTTCTAGCATTTGCATACTTTTTTAATTATTGTTAAATATAGCAGAGGGTGAAATAAATTTGTTTCTCGGTGCCATGATATTAGATCTAAAATTTGAATGTGCATATTTTTGCATATTTTATATATTTTGCAGGAGAGTGCATATTTTAAAATTTTTATGCTTATTTTATATATTTTGACAAATTTTTAAAATTTTAAATTAAAAACTATAGATACATATTTCAACCGATCGAAAAAAAAATGTACTTAATACTTCCAATAATATATATATATATATCTGCAAACTATCTCTCATATCTTGTTATAATTTTTGTATAAGTATAAATAATACTACAAACTTGTATCGACCATATAACCCGCTGGATATCGACCGGATGTAGATAAAGATAGTAGTCAATATAGAATAATAGATTATTTGTTTAATGTTCAGTTCAGTTGATTATTATGTATACGTCGTTGTTTTTGCGTCTCGTAACCACACAAAGTCGAATCATACGTAAAATGTCATACGCGTATATTTTGAAAAACTGTGTAATGCTGAAAGTACAACAGTCTACAAGTAGTCAACTACAAAGTTTTGTTTCGGAGTTTAAAGATACATTTACATTCGATGGACACGTTTTATTTTATGTACTATGTTGTCTTTTTTTTTTTTTTAATACATATAAATGCATATTATAATACATATTTTAATGATTTTAGAAGCATATTTGCATGCATATTTGTGTATTTTTTAGAGCTATAAGTCTCTAAGCCTAAATACAATAAATATAATTTTTTTTAATGCACATTTTAATAGTATATTTATTAGTATAGTATTATATTAGTATAGTATAATTAGTATTATATTATTATTTAATAGTATAGTTCATTAGGGCATCAATGCATTCATATTTTACATTTTTTAAGGGCATGAAGTCCCTAGCCCTAGCCATCACCCATCAACGCAATTATAAATTTTGAGCAAGGTGGATAAGACACAAAATAAATAGGGGTGCCAAGGTACACCCAGCACCCCCTCCCAAATGGTGCCTCTGAATAAAATTACATAGATATAATAATGTTAATTAGCAAACAGGTATGTAAGACATAAACAACATACCTAAATCAAAAATAACCAGCTTCGGAACATGCGTAAGGGTATCGAGTAGAGGTTCCATGTCCGTGTCCGTGTCCGTGTCCGTGTCCGTGTCCATGTCCATGTCCATGTCCATACATGTATTCAACACAAAATATTTATGAAAACTAGAAATAACAAGTTTAAACTTTAACCCTTAAATTCATATATTACCGTCGGTAGTGACTCAGAGAATCAATAATCAACACCGGATTCTGTAATGGTATTGTTATCTATATTCAATGGTACTGACAGCCAGTGATGGTAGGTGATAGCAATCAGAATTCCCAACCATAAGCCTTAAATTTCCCTGTAAAAATATTTTGTTCGCTTCGCTTGCTAATACATAATAAATAATACACTTTTTTCGTTGAAATGTTCGAACCCTTACTTCTCTTAAGACTATAATACTGTATAATATTTTATTAGTTTATGATAATAGCATATTATAATTTTTTAAATATAATGTTTTACTTATACAAATTATAGTAATATTTTAGAAGTTTTAAGAATAACTTGACTTTTTATGTCGAACTTCAATTCAACATTAACAAACTCTGTAAAAATTAATTACAAACAAACCATTATAACTTGAAAATGTATTTTTCATTAAGTTTTAAGTTCATTGGTAACTTTTATATGCACCTATATAAATATTAATATAAATAAAAATAAAATAAAATAAGATAAATAAATAAGATAAAAATAAGAAGAAATAAATACTTTTTTTTATAAAAAAGAAAATGAATACAAATTGTTAGTGTTGTGTAAAAACATATGCTCTTTAGTTACTTTAAATCGAGTGCAAGTTACACCTTTGTCTTGAAATGAAGATCTTATGATAGCAACTTCATTTAATGCATCATCACCAATCTTATTTCTCTTTTTAGTTTTAATTTCATTTACAATAGAGAAGTTCAGCTTCAGCATTTGAATGCGGCAATGTTAGCACTAACTGTGCTAATTTCGATATGTTTGGAAATAAAATACCTTCTTCAACACAATTTGCCTAAAATATAAAACTTACTGTTAAGTATATTCGAATGTTATATTTATTATTTTTACATTTTTATTTTTTAATACTATACATATTATTTACATAAATAAAATCTAATTTTTAATCCAATAAATATTTATCTTTTTCCACATTTCAAGTAAAGGAAGTTTTAATAATTTTTGAGCTAATTCATTACTTAAATTGCACGGCAAACTTCTCTATTTTTCTTCGACTTTAAAAGTATCTATGTACGATAAAAATGTTTTGTTAAGAATATGAAACCCTTCATAATCTGAACGACCATTCAGGTAAAACGCAATGTGAGGATTTAAAAATTACATTTCTTTGAATATGTTATTTTCAAAAGGAAGACGCATTACGCATTTATACTGAAGAAATCTTCAGCAGCTTTTAGATAAAATTGAAAACAATTTTTTTTAAATTCTAAAATAATGTCCTTATCATTTTCTGGTATCTCTTTCAATTCAGATTGACATTCTGCCTCAACAAAAACTTCATCACAAGATAAATAATTATTTTTGTCAGCAAAATAGATTTCATGTGAATGGTCGTTGATTAAATGTGGCTTGACAAAATGTTGGCATATATTTTTAAAAAGACAAATAGAATTGTTTTGCAGTAAATTAATTGAAATACTACGACTTTGAAAAAGAACATTAAATTTATTAAAATAATTTAAAGCGTATTTCAAGAAATAAAAGTAACATTTTATAATTCTATTATTGAGATCATTTAGTATGATTTCGCTTGATTTTAATTTATCTTCTTGAACAGCAACTATAAAATAATGTTGTAAGTCTGTCCAACATTCTAACGATCAAAAAATACACTGGAGCAAAGTCAACCAACGTGTATCTCCAAGTCTTAAAAATTTTACTTATGGCCGTCAAGTATTTTTGAATTTCCATTAGTTGAGCACAGCGTTTGGTGCTGCCTGATACATATGAAGCGACTGAACGGATCCGATCTTCAGCAGACCTTGGTAGCATTTTACATGATTTATTAGCAATTAGAGCAGATGAATGACAAACACAGAGCATTAGTATTAAATTAGGATTTAAAGATTTAAAACGAGATACAAAAGAATTATTTTTTCCAATCATCATATTGGCTCCATCAGAAGCCACACCTATTGTATTAGAAATAGGAATATTTTTCTTCTTTAAACAATCTTCGAAAATATGCTTTTAGCAGAACAATCAGTAGCATCCAAACATACAAGTTCTAATAGTCGTGTGTGTACACCACCTATACATTGATGTACAAAACGAACTAAAATACACAAAAATTTGTTCATATATATATATATATATATCTGTTGATTCGTCAACTAATATTGAAAAACGTTGAGTTTGAATTATTTTAACTAATTCACTAGTCTCTATTGGTGCTATAACTGCCGTAAGTAAGTACCGTAACTGAACTAATCGAGGCCCATGTGCAAATCAAAATCTTGAGGCTCCTTATGGTTGTAAATGTTTAAGCATTTGACCTTTTGAGGCCTCATAATATTGTACGAGGACCAGGACCTGCGTGCAATGCACACTCTACACACCCGTTCTTTACGGCACTGGCTATAATGTTTTTAATAATATAAGTACATTTTTTCTGTACATTTGTATATCTCTAACTAATTTGAATTCATTAAATATATTTTTCAGAAGTGGTATTAAATGATCCACTTTACTGAAAGCAACGTTATGTTCTGCAAAAAAAGCTGATAATATAGTTTCAGCTTTTTCTACACTAATTGTACCTGGTTCTTCGGTTTGATTTGATTGGACAGCAAATAAATTCTGTAACTGTGGACCACTGATAGATTTGATGTTAGCTTTATGTTTAAACCCAAGAGCATGTTTTTCTAATTCACTTTTACCGCACTTAAGTTTTACATTGCATGCCTTGCATTTACATTTTGAAGGATCAGATTTATCTTCTATAAGCTACAGTTTAAAATTACTGTCATCAAGCCATTCTTTTCTGAAAAGTTTTTGATTTATATTGTTGCGAACCAGATAGAATGACCGTATGATGTCGGTAGTAAAGAAGTTAACATTTATTTATACTCAAAATACAAAACATAAGTGTACAATGATTGATATATACAGATTGATCCAAATGTACACATCTACATGTGACAGAGGGCTTATAACAATAAATTAGTACCTAAGTCATAACGGTCTGGTTGTGCACATTTGGACTGGGTCCGTGATGAAGGTGTTCCTGGCTCTCTGCAACTACCTCTGACTACTGGTGACTGATGACGACTGACTCTTGTCTTTGCGTCCCTTGGTATTTATTCTATGTTTCTAGGTCATCCTTCCTTGGCATGGGACCGTTCCGGACATTACATATTATCCTATTGTCTTCGATTTTATATTTTATAATTTGACAATTCGTATTCCCGAGAGTAATATCGCGGAGTTTGACAATATATTTTAAGTTATTACTTTATTATTATTAATTCAAAAGACAGCTTATCCTGTAATTATTAATAATGCATTGGTCTTGGCATTGTACATTTTTAAGACTAAGGCCGTCCTCCCACTAGGGCAAGGCGACGCGACGCGATTTTAAATAAATATCGCGTGATAATCGTTTGTCTTATAAAACACGGATAAATATATCGGGGACTTCCCACTGACGCGACACGATGTGACTACGACGCAACACGACAACAACTAATTGCGCGCAACTAGAGCTGTCAGTCGCTTGATGAATAGTTGCCACTACATCACTTGAATTATACTCGTGTTTATTTCATTATATTTTATTATTTCATTGTAATAGTATTATAAAATATAATTATTATATAGATAACTATAATTATAAAATTATGTCGAAAAAAGAGTGTGTGTTAACTATAAACTTAATTGAGGCTGTGGAAAAATATCCATGTTTATATAATGACAAATTACCAGAATACGCCAGAAAAGATTTAACAGAAAAGGCATGGTCAAAAGTTGCAGAAGTTAAAGAAACAGGTAATACTATTTATTATTAGTTCATATTATTTATTGTAACATAATATGTTATATTATGGTATAAAGTAAATGCTAAAAATAAAATAAGAACAATGTACTAATATTAAAAACTATCACCCTACCTCAACGCATCCAGAATATTCGACAACTAATATTATCGGTCATCGATATTAGGTATAATATTTTGTTTTTAACAAATAGGTATGTATGAATTATATTTATTTATTGTATTAAGTAGATATGAAAACAAGTTATGCAGTTTACCGTATTAATAAATACAAAATAATACAATAGCTAAATAATACAAATAATAATTAATAATAATATGCATTTAAATACACTTTCATATACTTATTTCAAAACAAATTTAAAAGAAAATTATTATCAAATATTTAGACCATAATATTAATAATTATACACAACTATTCCACTGCCATAGCAGCGATGCATAAGACTTAACAAAATATGAAAACAAATAATCCCTCATATCACTCGCCGCTCGTGTTCTCAGCAACTCATTTTGATCGTCGTTGTATTTGAGAAACTCAACTGGTACTTGAATGTCTTCTGAACAGTTTTCATCAAAATCAACGGAAGGTATATACTGTCGACCTTCCCTTTTACGTATAAAATTGTGGAGAATACATACTGATCTTATTATATTGTTAATAGTAGTTTCGTTATTACATCGTATTGGTGATAATAGTACTTGAAATTTTTGTGACATCATACCAAATGAACACTCAACAGTTTTTCTACCTCTACTGAGTCTGTAGTTTTTTTCAAAGGAAATCCTTCGTCAGCTACAAAATAATAAGGAAAACAAATGTCGTTAGGATCATTAGGCAATGGTTTAGGATGTGGCATATTTAAACCATTTCTTTCAAGCCACCGACCCATTCTTGATGCTCGAAAGATATCTCCATCGCTATTTCTACCAGCGAAACCAGTTTCTATCATAATAAAATTTCCATCTGCATCACTGCAAGCCATTAAAACAATTGAACGGTATGATTTATAATTAAAATTAGTGGATCCTGTATTAGGGAGTTTTTGTATTCTTATGTGTTTTCCATCTATTGAACCTAAGCAATTTGATAAATTCCATAATCTATTATACTGATTTGCTATACACATCCACTGTTCTTCGGTTGGTATAGGCATGTATTCATTAAATAAACACTCCCATATTTTCTGAGTAGATTCTGAAATTATTTTACCGATTGTGTTGTCACCTCGAGCAAAATAAAATGATAGGCTGGAATAAGTGCAGCCCGTCGCCAAATATCTAATAAAAAATAGTTTTTAGGTAATTTTCTATTTATGTATATGTATATTTCAATAATTTATTATTTTTGTATTATTTTATTTTTAGTTTCATTGTGTAAAAAAAAATGGAAAAATTTAAGGACTGTATTTGTCAGGAATATGAAATCAGCACCTATTGGATCTTCTAGAAAAGTAAAGAAGCCTTATTATTTGAATGAATATTTACAATTTCTTTTGCTATATGTAAAACCCAATACTGTTATAACTAATCCGGGAAATCTTCCTTCTCCGACCTCAGATAATGAAATTACATTTGAAAATAATGAACAAAGCGATACTGAAGTCCAAGATGAAGGTATTATACAACAAGAAGAATATTTAACCGATAAAATTATAAACATTGAAAAACCAAACAATGGAAAAGGTCGTCTTCCTCTTGTACAAGAACGTAACCAAGGAAAAGGTAACAAAAAGAAACGAAAATTAGATGTTAGCGAAGTAGACCAGTCCTTTATTGATTTCGTGAATATGAAGAAGGAAAAGTCCTGTGAAACTGATCTAAGAAAGATGTTTCTTCTTAGTTTGTTACCAGATATTAAGAACATGACTGATCAACAAATGAGAATGTTTAAAAAAAAAGTATTGGATTTGGTCGATGACATTTTAACTGAAAATCCGACTCCTCAATATCAATTACCAATAACCATGTTCAATCCATCTCGTCCTCCGACTACATCTTCAACTTTCTCAAGTTCATCATTATATTCTTATAACCACTCAAATAGTTTCACGCCAATCCATTATCCTGAAGAATCACATGTGGCAGCTAAAGTTAGCAACCAGAACGAAAATGTTTGTCAAGATTTTATAAATATGTAAAAATGTATATGTAATAAATTACAAGGAGTATACTACCTATTATATTAAATTAAATATTAAATATTATATGAGTCTTAATAATTATTTATTTTATTTATATTAGTATAATTATTTTTATGTTAGTAAAAGTTAAGCCATTACCTCAATGTTATTAGTAGTCATTCACGTACACAAATACAACGGCGGAAATGTGTGTCTTGTTTTTCAATTTCTGGTCCCACTTTTTCCACAAGTAAGTTAAAACTTTCTTTCGACATTCGATAAAAAGATTGAAATTTAACGTCATCTTGTAATAATTCATTTGCGGCAACAAAAATACGACAATTAATATTATTCTGTATGTATGGATGTACCCAATATCTCCTTTTCGTTTTTCGTTTCTTGTGGTTTTGATAATACCAGTATAATGCAATGGCATCGTCATATTCAGAGGACGACATGTTTGCAACTGACCAATTTTAGTTGCTGAAACATCGTCTATACTGTGCAGAACTCACGAAATCAGATCGTACGATTTTTTGATAAGCAACTATTTTTTTTAGTCGCGTCAACGTCGCGTCGCGTAGCGTTGCCCTAGTGGGAGGACGGCCTAAGGAGGTTACATTATTATACAAGCGAGACACTTTCTATAACATTTGGTAAAGGTGGCACGTCTTGTAACAATATATTTTCTTTTTTCTTCTTTGGACAGACCGTAACAAAATGTTTTTATTTTTTTTTGGGGTCTTAACTTTTTTTATAGGAGCAGGATTGTCGATAATTGTAGTTGATAACGAATACAATTACCTAAAAACAGAAGTTATTATTTTTATCAATTTATCACAGATTCTACAAATAATTATTATCTAGAGCCATGAGCTAAAATCTTAGTAAGTTTATGTCTAGTGCCTAAGCTTTCTAATTCGTATAATTTGTATATATACCTACAGTTGATTAAAATTTCCCTTATTTTCATGAAATACACTTAAATTTCCCTTTTTTCCCTTGGCGGTTAGTAATTGATTCAATACTGTTCATTCGATACCAGTATTTTCTTATCGATATAAGTATCGAAACCATGCTATCGAATACAAAAAGTACTTGTATCGAAAAAAAGCATCGATACTTTTTTGGTATCGGTAGTATTCCAACATTCATAATCACGTGGTCTCTTCCGTAAATTGTTGTATTTTCGTGGACGTCGATAGTATGATTATATTGCTGTGATGTTTCAAACATCGTGTTACCTCGTCAACAAATCTTGTCCAACATTGTTTCATAGCAGCCAATCTGTAGGTCAGTGACTAAGTGTACCTTTTGGCCAGTAGAAGAGGAACAAAGCCGAAACGTCACACCTGGTATGCCAGAACTTGTGTCCTATTCCCTCTACACCCAATTTTACAAATTTTTTTACTTCTTTAACGACTAAAATGTCAAATCTTCAGTATAATGGCAACTTGAGATAATATATGTAAATATTAAACTTTATCTTCCATTTAAAATAAGAAAATAAATATAAATATTTGTAATACAATACAAGGTAAAAAATACCATTAGATAATTTTATATCCTCCTTGAACCATATATAGCAATTATTGATCAATAATATTTTTTAAAAATTCTGTGCAGTGTCCTTGATGCAGTGATATTGCAATTGGCAAGTATTGGTGTATTAAGTAACCAGAGTGATACAGCATTAGCTATTATATTGAATTAAAATATTATTATTTGATTATTAAATGAAAGTAATAATACAAAGATTATAAATTTATTTAGAATTTTTAAACTTGATTTATAAATAGTTTGATATAAAACATTAATTTAAATATTTACTAGATTTTTATAATATTTTAAATAAATTAAAAAATTATCATATTTATACCGTTTAAAATGAACAGGTAAAAATTAAAAGAGGATCCCCAGCTCCTGGAGGAATTTTGATTTAGGTATATGAAAAAAAAAAATTATAATTGAAATTTCAAACAAAATTAGATTAATTAATTTGAATTGAATTATATTTTACGTAAATGAGCATGATCCATCAAGAGTAAATTATTATTTGTTAATTTTAATCAAATGATTTAAAAGTTTCAAAATATTTTATGTAAAGTAATGAATTTAATTTCTGATCCATTAACTATTTAATGTATAAAATTCAACAAAAAAAATTATAAGTAGTTACCCGGCTCTCCAATGACACCTCCTTTGGGTAGAAACAAAGAAAAATCCAAGTTGTGAAAAGAAACATCAGATTTATTAATATATTTTATATAAATTAAATGGATTTGGTTTTTATACCATTAAATATTTTAAGTGTAAAATTCAAAAACCAAAATGAAAAGGGGATCCCCGACTCCCGGAGGGAAATTGATTTGGGTCGATCCAAAAAAAAAATCCAGGTTTTGAAAAGGAAACATAAAAAAAAATGAATTAAAATTTGAATATTTTGAAACTAAATAAGATTGATTGATTTAAATTGAATTATATTTTACATTTATGAGCACAATTTATTAGAAATTTATTATTTTTAGTTAATTTTAATCAAATGATTTATATGTTTCAAGATATTTGATGTAAATTAAAAGAATTTGAATTTTATACCATTAAACATTTAATGTATAAAATTCAACAAAAAATATTACAAATGGTTACCCGGGTCTCGAAGGACACTTTGTTGATGTTTAAAGAAGGAAAAATCCAAGTTCTGAAAAGAAACATATCAGTTTTACTAAGATATTTTATGTAAATTAGAGGAATTTGATTTTATACCATTAAATATTCTAAGTGTTAAGTTCAGAAATAAAAATGAAAAGGGGATCCCCGGCTCCCGGAGGGAAATTGATTTGGGTCGATCCAAAAAAAAAAAATCCAGGTTCTGAAAAAGAAACATAAAAAAAAATGAATTTAAATTTAAATATTTTAAAACAAAATTAGATTGATTGATTTAAATTGAATTATATTTTACATTTATGAGCACAATTTATTAGAAATTAATTAAATTAAATTAAATTAAATGATTTAAAAAATTCTAGATATTTTATGCAAAGTAATGAATTTGATTTTTATTCCATTAAATATTTAATGTATAAAATTCAAAAAAAAAAAAATTATAAGTGGTTACCCGGCTCTCAAATGTCACCTCCTTTAGATTGAAACGATAAAAAATCCAAGTTCTAAAAAGAAACATAACATACTTATTAATATTTTATAATTATTAGTAAATTTTAATCAAATGATTTAAATGTTTCAAGATATTTGATGTAAATTAAAAGAATTTGATTTTTATACCATTAAACATTTAATGTATAAAATTCAACAAAAAAATATTATAAATGGTTACCCGGGTCTCGAAGGACACTTTGTTGAGGTTGAAAGAAGGAAAAATCCAAGTTCTGAAAAGAAACATATGAGTTTTACTAAGATATTTTATGTAAATTAGAGGAATTTATCAAGAATATATCAAGAAGATATCAAGAAGATATCAAATCGTATAAAGAAGATCTCTTATTAGAAGCCAAAACAAATGACCAGCTGTTCAACCCTACCTACAAACAACCAAAAAGTAGTCAGAATTACTAAACATAAAAATACACATAAAATATATACAACACCAAAAAACAAATTTACATCAAACAACTACCTATCAATAATCTTAAATCAAAAACCAAAAGAACAAAAAATCAACAAGATATCAAACTGTAAAAAGAAGATCTCTAATTAGAAGTCAAAACAAATGACCAGCGGTTCAACCCTACCTACAATCAACCAATAAGATGTAATAATTACCAAACATAAAAATACACATAAAATATATACAACAAAAAATTACAAATCAAAAATCTTAAAACAAATACCAAATGAATAATTAATCAACAGAGCATTAAACAATAAAAAGATAATACTTAAATTAATACCGAAAATTAAATACTATTCGACATGAACTACATAAAATCATAGAAAAAGAACCAAAGAAATACCAAACAAAAAATTACACATAAAATTATATATATCCAATACGCCTAAAATACTACAAGCAAATACAAATATCAAAAATCTTAAAACATAAACCAAAAGAACAACAAATCAACAAAACATCAATCTGTAAAAATATAATTCCTAAATTGAAACGAGAACATAAATACTATTCAAACTTATTACAAAACATCTAAACAATATAATATATCAAATATAAAAATCTAACATAAAATATACAAAAATATATATATAACACCAAACCGACTAATAGATATCAAACACCGACCTAACACTAATCATAAAACAAGAACCAGAAGAACAATAAATCAACACGATATTAAACTGTAAAAAGAAGATCCCCAATTAGAAGCCAAAACAGTTGAACAGCTGATCATTACTACCTACAACCAACAAGAGCTCGGGACCCCGGGTTTGCTAAGACCCGTAAACACGTAAGAACGTGTTCCCCTGGGGGATAACAAATACCTAAAAAAAATCAAAAAAAAAACGAAAAAAAATGCCAAAGAATAAAAATCATACCTACATCAAACAGTGAAAGAAATTATCTAATTCATAGCCAATGGTGATGAACAGCTGTTCAACTCTACTTAAAAACAACCAAATAAAATATATTCTAGAATACCTACGCATCAATATAGACAATAAAAATATCCAACACCAAAAAAAAGACAAATCACCAAACAAATACCTAACACAAATCACAACAAAAAAAATTACCAGCTGTTCAACCCTACTTACAAACAACCAAGAAGAAGTAAGAATTACTAAACATAAAAATACACATTAAATATATACAAGTCCAAAACGCCAACAGTACAACAAACAAATACAAATATCACAAATCATAAAACAAGAACCAGAAGGACAATAAATTAACAAGATATTAAACTATAAAAAGACGATTCTCAATTTGATGCCAAAATGAATGAACAGCTGTTAACCCTACCCACAAACAACAACAAAAAAAATGAATTCAAGATTTACTACTCATAAACAGAGGCAAAAAGTATATCCAACCTCATACACCATCAATTCATCAAACTTATA